GATGTAAATTTTAAAAAATAAAAAATAAAATAAAATAAAAAAAGCACTTCTCCCAATATTTCAAATAGGCAGGGTAACACCCCATGTCACCTGGTAGGAGCACTTAAAACTATGAAAATAGGGTCAGTCAACAAAAGATTTCTCATTCTTGAAACACAAGGGGTCAGAAAAATGGTTCTCAATGGGATCCACAGAGCCCTGGGGAGTCCACGGATGGGCTGCAGGAGATCTGTGAACTCTTCAAAATTCCATGCACAACATTGTATACCTGGGGAAGAAGTTTATAGTTTTTCAAAGTAATCTGGAACTCCTCAAGAGTTAAAAACACTGATTTAGTAGATGCAAGCAAGTGTTCTGAAGATAATAATGATTCAGAGATTTTTCTTTGCCTCCTCTTTAATGATTATTTACATGATCCTCTTTTTAGTCCTCATTTTTCACTAGTCTGTATCAAAACCACCGTGAAGGCAATCAGGGTCTCTTAGATTAGCTGGTGCACAGCAAAGTAAACGACAGTCATGAATATTAAATAAAGAAAAGAGTCACTAGTGTTGTTCTGATCACAGTATCGTCAGGAAAGGAAAGAGAAAAAGCCACCAATTTCCTTTTGCAGTTTTTTAGGGATAGAGAATGGGGCTAGGTATGTTTTTATGTGTAGACAAACATCTACAGAGGTGGCCTGAAGATAAGAAAAATAAATGTGAAACTGAGATGAGGTAAGAGTAGAAAGGCAATCTATAAACAGTCTAGAAAATTCAAGTGGTCAGGTAGCAAAAAGTAACTACTCGTAACTCAGAAAAATGCCTTTAGTTAGCCACCGCTTTATGACTACTCCAACTAAATTCCTTTTTAGGAGAACACAGAAGAGACTCAATTTTTAAAATACCCATGTACACTAAAAATAACAAACCAGAAAGTTTGAACCAAGGATGAAGTAAATGGAATTCCAAACCCAGTAAATGTCTTCCCCCCACTCCACCCCCCCAAAAAGCAACAATTATTTTGAAATACTTCTGTCATGACCAGAAATGAACCCTCAGAAAAAGGTTTTCTATGATCCTTTAAAATACTAATTGGCTTGAACATCACTAATCTGTCCAGGAAGAAAAAATTTCTGCATAGCGGAACCAAAGTTATGCTAAGTTAAATTATATCTTAGTTTTATCCCACTGAACTATACGAAAAGATGGTTCGCCATGTATCTGGGGAAGTTAGCTGGCTCTCTGCTCCAGTAAGTTCGTGTTCTTTGCTTGGTGGGAACTACTGCAGCTCTTGCCAATGGAACGCAGGATCTGGCTGAAGTGTGATGCGCTACCTAATAATCCGATAGTTTAAGGGGAAGGAAAACAAACCAAGATCCAGTTTTCTCTGACACTTCTGGATGTAATCTTCCCCTTAAGGCATAGGGAGAAGATCCACAGATTGTTACGACAGTAAGGTTTTCGAAAATTCAGATACCAGTGATAAAAGAGAGATTTTGGAAATTGACTTTAGAATGCACTTGTGGGGTGCCTGGGAGGCTCAGTCGGTTAAGTGTCTGACTCTTGGTTTTGGCTCAGGTCATGATCTCACTGTTCGTGAGTTCGACCCCCACATCAGGTTCTGCTCTGATAGTGCGGGGCTGGTTGGGTTTCTCTCTCTGCCCCTCCTTTGCTTGCTCTCTCTCAAAATAAACAAATAAACTTAAAAAAAAATTTAGAATGCACTTGCAAATGTAGAGTTGGTGACTGTTTTTAGTGGCAGCTTTGAATATAAATTTGAAATCTTGATTCACTTAGCATAACACTCTCCAGTTCCATCCATGTTGCTACAAAGGGCCAGATTTCCCATTTCTTACTTTCTCATTATACGTAGTGATATTGTGTATATAAACCCCAATTTCTTTATCCATTCATCAGTTGAGGGACATTTAGGGTCTTTCCATAATTTGGCTATTGTTGAGAGTGCTGCTATAAACAGTGGGGTACAATTGCCCCTATGCATCAGTACTCCTATACCCCTTGGGTAAGTTCCTAGCAGTGTTATTGCTGGGTCATAGGTAGATCTATTTTTAATTTTTTGAGGAACCTCCACACTGTTTTCCAGAGCAGCTGCACCAGTTTGCATTCCCACCAACAGAGCAAGAGAGTTCCCGTTTCTCCACATCCTTGCCAGCATCTATACCCTCCTGATTTGTTCATTTTGGCCACTCTGACTGGCGTG